TAAAAAATCCACCCCTTGCGTGGGTCCTCTTCAAAAATATTCTTTAAAAAATCCACGCCTTGTGTAGGTCCCTGAAAAAATATTATTTAAAAAATCCACCCCTTGCGTGGGTCCTCTTCAAAAATATTCTTTAAAAAATCCACGCCTTGCGTCGATCGTTGAAAAAATATTCATTAAAAAATCCACGCCTTGCGTCGGTCGTTGAAAAAATATTCTTTAAAAAATACACGCCTTGCGTCGATCGTTGAAAAAATATTCATTAAAAAATCCACGCCTTGCGTCGATCGTTGAAAAAATATTCATTAAAAAATCCACGCCTTGCGTCGTCCGTTGAAAAAATATTCATTAAAAAATCTACGCCTTGTGTGGATCGTTGAAAAAATATTCTTTAAAAAATCCACGCCTTGTGTGAATCCTTTTCAAAAATATTCTTTAAAAAATCCACGTCTTGTGTGGATCGTTGAAAAATTTTTCTTTAAATAATCCACGCCTTGTGTGGATCGTTGAAAAATTTTTCTTTAAATAATCCACGCCTTGTGTGGATCGTTGAAAAATTTTTCTTTAAATAATCCACGCCTTGTGTGGATCGTTGAAAAATTTTTCTTTAAATAATCCACGCCTTTTGTGGATCCTTGAAAAAATATTCTTTAAAAAATCCACGTCTTGTGTGGATCGTTGAAAAAATATTCATTAAAAAATCCACGCCTTGCGTCGGTCGTTGAAAAAATATTCTTTAAAAAATACACGCCTTGCGTCGATCGTTGAAAAAATATTCATTAAAAAATCCACGCCTTGCGTCGATCGTTGAAAAAATATTCATTAAAAAATCTACGCCTTGTGTGGATCGTTGAAAAAATATTCTTTAAAAAATCCACGCCTTGTGTGAATCCTTTTCAAAAATATTCTTTAAAAAATCCACGTCTTGTGTGGATCGTTGAAAAAATATTCTTTAAAAAATCCACGCCTTGTGTGGATCGTTGAAAAAATATTCTTTAAAAAATCCACGCCTTGTGTGGATCGTTGAAAAAATATTCTTTAAAAAATCCACGCCTTGTGTGGATCGTTGAAAAAATATTCTTTAAAAAATCCACGTCTTGTGTGGATCGTTGAAAAAATATTCTTTAAAAAATCCACGTCTTGTGTGGATCGTTGAAAAAATATTCTTTAAAAAATCCACGCCTTGTGTGAATCCTTTTCAAAAATATTCTTTAAAAAATCCACGTCTTGTGTGGATCGTTGAAAAAATATTCTTTAAAAAATCCACGCCTTGTGTGGATCGTTGAAAAAATATTCTTTAAAAAATTCACGCCTTGTGTGGATTGTTGAAAAAATATTCTTTAAAAAATCCACGCCTTGTGTGGATCGTTGAAAAAATATTCTTTAAAAAATCCACGTCTTGTGTGGATCGTTGAAAAAATATTCTTTAAAAAATCCACGTCTTGTGTGGATCGTTGAAAAAATATTCATTAAAAAATCCACGCCTTGCGTCGGTCGTTGAAAAAATATTCTTTAAAAAATACACGCCTTGCGTCGATCGTTGAAAAAATATTCATTAAAAAATCCACGCCTTGCGTCGATCGTTGAAAAAATATTCATTAAAAAATCCACGCCTTGCGTCGTCCGTTGAAAAAATATTCATTAAAAAATCTACGCCTTGTGTGGATCGTTGAAAAAATATTCTTTAAAAAATCCACGCCTTGTGTGAATCCTTTTCAAAAATATTCTTTAAAAAATCCACGTCTTGTGTGGATCGTTGAAAAAATATTCTTTAAAAAATCCACGTCTTGTGTGGATCGTTGAAAAAATATTCTTTAAAAAATCCACGCCTTGTGTGGATCGTTGAAAAAATATTCTTTAAAAAATCCACGCCTTGTGTGGATCGTTGAAAAAATATTCTTTAAAAAATCCACGCCTTGTGTGGATCGTTGAAAAAATATTCTTTAAAAAATCCACGCCTTGTGTGGATCGTTGAAAAAATATTCTTTAAAAAATCCACGCCTTGTGTGGATCGTTGAAAAAATATTCTTTAAAAAATCCACGCCTTGTGTGGATCGTTGAAAAAATATTCTTAAAAAAATCCACGCCTTGTGTGGATCGTTGAAAAAATATTCTTAAAAAAATCCACGCCTTGTGTGGATCGTTGAAAAAATATTCTTTAAAAAATCCACGCCTTGTGTGGATCGTTGAAAAAATATTCTTTAAAAAATCCACGCCTTGTGTGGATCGTTGAAAAAATATTCTTTAAAAAATCCACGCCTTGTGTGGATCGTTGAAAAAATATTCTTTAAAAAATCCACGCCTTGTGTGGATCGTTGAAAAAATATTCTTTAAAAAATCCACGCCTTGTGTGGATCGTTGAAAAAATATTCTTTAAAAAATCCACGCCTTGTGTGGATCGTTGAAAAAATATTCTTTAAAAAATCCACGGCTTGTGTGAATCCTTTTCAAAAATATTCTTTAAAAAAATCCACGCCTTGTGTGAATCTTTTTCAAAAATATTGTTTAAGAAATCCACGCCTTGTGTAGTCTTTGAAAAATATTTTAAAAAAATCTACGGCTTGTGTAGTCTTTATTTAAAAAAAAATATTTTTTTATTTTATTTAAATAATATCATTTTAAAAATCTATGCCTTGTGTGGAACCATTTCAAAAATATTCTTTTAAAAATCTACGCCTTGTGTGGAACCATTTCAAAAATATTCTTTTAAAAATCTACGCCTTGTGTGGAACCATTTCAAAAATATTCTTTTAAAAATCCACGCCTTGTGTGGAACCATTTCAAAAATATTCTTTACAAAAAACCACGCCTTGTGTGGAACCATTTCAAAAATATTCTTTAAAAAATCCACGCCTTGTGTAGGTCCTCTTCAAAAATATTCTTTAAAAAATCCACGCCTTGTGTAGGTCCCTGAAAAAATATTCTTTAAAAAATCCACGCCTTGTGTAGGTCCTCTTCAAAAATATTCTTTAAAAAATCCACGCCTTGTGTAGGTCCCTGAAAAAATATTCTTTAAAAAATCCACGCCTTGTGGGGATCCTTTTATAAAATATTCTTTAAAAAATCCACGCCTTGTGTGAATCCTTTTCAAAAACAGTCTTTAAAAAATCCACGCCTTGTGTGGATCCTTTTAAAAAATATTCTTTAAAAAATCCACGCCTTGACATGTTTTATTGGTATTCAAAAATATATATACACACTTTTCTATTTACACAGTTTATATATTTGTTGCTATATACAATGAAAAGATTTTTTATGATAAAATTTTAATATGATTTTTTTATAGTCAATAAAAATTATGGTTTAATTTTATTATAATACAATGTACAGTAAAACCTATAACTAATGGAAAATTCCTCTCATATTTAAAAAAATGTTTAGTTCCATTTTTTCGAAGTGTGTTTGAGATAGTTCACTCAATTTTCTCTCCCGCCTTCTCCAGAATAAAATTATCCACCAAATCCTCTAATATATCCGTCAGCCTCTGTCTATAAATCTCATCGGTATTGAATGCCTTGAGGCATATTTCCACACGTTTGCGGGAAAAGAAATCGCTGAAACCCTCAGTGGTCGCCGTCAGACACTGAGTCAATTCGGCTGGTAATATTGTCAAATGACAAAATAGACAACTTTCAATGAGGCCACAAATGCGATACAGCTCAAATGTTTGCCAAAATTCCTCCTCACTCAAGAACTCTTCAATGTTCAGCTGTTCACGTTTCAAGAACTCCTTCATAAATCGATAATATTCCTGCAGCAGTTCCATTAAATGTGTTCGTCGGAATTCTCGAGTGCTGGGTATGGTCAATAGGGTTATTAAATCCACCATTGGTGGGGCATACCGAGCCAATTGGAAGTCAACAAAACGACATTGTATCGGACTATCACCATATTTACCATATTCAAACATCACATTATTGGCCCACAAATCGCCATGGGAGAAAACGTTGCGAAATTTCGTAGAGGTTTGGGCCAATTCGAATATCACGGACATTTTTGATTTTAAATTTGTGAGAATAAAATCTAGGTGTTTCTCATACTTCGGCATTTGTTTAATTAATTCACTAAATACCTCAACACCATTTGCAAAATTTTGATAGCGTACATGTTGCTGATCTACATTATTCGGATAGGCATTCTCCACAATGGCTGGTGCAAAAATTTCATTGATTTTCACATTTTGTTTGACCTCAAAGACAATGGAAGCGGCATGCATTGTGGCCAGGGTCTTGACAGCACACTGCAAATGTTCATAATCCAATATGCCATCCCGGCCAGCTGCCATTTTATAACCCATTTGTTGCAGCTCCTCAAAAACTAATAGATTATTATCCGCATAATAACATTTGGGCGCCACTCCAGCGAAAATTTCTTGCAATTGTGGCAATACATCGCGGTACACAATTATTTCCTTTTTGAAAACACCAAATTCTTCCAGGTAATCCATGCGTGAGGCAATCTCCACGGGAGCTGCCTTGGTGAAGAAACGAATTCTATTAAAGGTAATTGAGTCACGGCCATCTTCACTTTTCCTGCCCACTTGGACATCAACCACCAAAAAACGATGGTGACCCAAAAATCCCGATGGACTATCAGATATGGGTTTCAATTGATAGCGTATCACATTTAGCTGGAGATTTTCATTTGAGGTTGAATTTGTGGCTGCCACTTCTGTGTCCTGTTGATGACCAAAATATTTTTGACACAATCCTTCTACTTCATTTGCGGATAATTCAATTGCAGTGGCCATGTTGAACGGCAGAAATTATTTTGCACAAATTTAGTTTAGCGGTTGTTGTCTATTTGACATTCGACTTCAAATGCGAAATAACAATGATCTTGAAAATCAGTTCTACTTAAATCATGATGCCACACAAAATGGTTTTATGGCCCCATTTCCATCTCCTGATATCAAGTTGCCAGGGAAGAACTGTCGGTTTGATAAGGAAAGTTTGTCGTTGGGTGGGAGCACCCACACCACCACCAGCATCAATAAATTACAAATATTTTATTCGTGCATAATATTTACATACAACTTTTTATTACTTTATGGCCGTACCCTACACGGTCCAACCACTCATTGCTACTGTGATAATTAATACTCCCACACAATGGGCTGAAAAAACTTCAGACCTAATTGTTTATATTCATATTCTTCTAATATTAAAATGTTTAAAAAATCCGAGTTTATAGCTCTTATAGTCCTCCAAAAATATTCTTTAAAAATCCACGCCTATGGCTCTGATGATCCTTCTCTGTCCTCCAAAAAATAATAAAGGTATCCATAGTTCCCACCCTCTCTTAAAAATCCCTATTTATATCATCTATATTTTCATTCGATTAAAAGTTGTCTTTTTTCTCACGCTCATGTCTTGCTGACTGACCCATTGTAGGGGCAACACGTGGTCAGATCAGCTTGCCATCCTCCACCTACCTCTAGCGAGGGTGTTACAGATTTTTTGCTTTGTTTTTTTTTTTATTTTTTATCTTATTTTGGCGGATAATTTTAGCATCCACCTTAATCTATTGTGCGAAAATAAAGAAACAAAGGAGTTTTTATCTTGCCACGCCATGTTCACATAACTGCGAGGGCTGATAGATGCTTAAACATTTTTTTTTTGGAAGTACAGTTTCTCGGGTTGAATGAACAAAGCGTGCCAGATTCCATGAGAGGTTTTAAATTCCATGAGAGGTTTACGGATATTCAAAAACAAAAAAAAAAATAAATAAATACATAAAAATTAAAATAAAAACGGAAGGTCGGCGAATATAAAATATAAAATAATTAACAAAAATATATATTATTAGAAAAAAATGTGTCAGTAATTTTACAAAAATACGATAATTTTGTACACAACAAAAGTCTTCATTATTTATTTTTTTTATGAAAAAAAAATAAATATGGACATATAAGCAGAGGATACTGCAGAGACAAAAACGACCCTATATATATATCGACGCCTCCGAAGAATAGTATGCTAAGTCTGAAAAGTGAGTTTTTCAGCAGAAGCTCTCAAAGTTTGGAAGTTTCTTAAATCTTACGTGCCATGCTAAGTACATTTTTGCTTATAACTTTGGTTTGGATTGGCCGATGATTACCAAAATTTCAGAGAATTTAAATTAAGGACCGTAGTATCTAAAAACGTTAAGAACTTTAAAACATGCTAAGTCGACTTAGCATACTATGGTTCGGAGGCGTCGATATTATATTTTCTAAAAATGTTTTCAATAAAACAATGGAAAACACTTTTTCTATATAGAAAAATATAAAATCAATACATAATTACCCTGCCAATACATAGTATTGCTAATTGTATTCCCGTAGAATTATAGTTAGTCTGGATAGAAAATTTGCCTGCACGCCTTCGATTTAAATCATAAAAATGTGGAATGTGATACGGGACGGTCTATGCTAAAATTTTGACCTATGCTAAATTTTCGCTACCAAGGGGACAACACTTATATATAATCGTGGATTTAGAAAAAAATGTTTGTTTAGACCATTGAAGACGTCGATGTTAAAAACATATTTTTTCTCTAGGACCAGAAAAGACATATTTTAGACATATTAAGATGGGCTCAAAGGGAATGGATTTTTAAGAACTCCAATTGCTTCCTGTGGAATTTATATCCAGAAGGAGTGCATTAATGAGACCCGTCTTTAAATATCTATATTTCCGCCCTCTAGTGTGGTAATGGGTTACAAAATAATACATAAATACGTAAGCACCTGTAAATATTTAAGTGTAACTCCTACATCCGAGTACATACGACAAAATAATTGGTATCAATTTAAAGGTCAACCACTCCTCTTCGATACAATATCGACTTCTCTGGTCTATATCCTTCAGGAGTAAATACATACGCTATACAATACAAATTTTGTAATTTTTCACACAAAAGTCAGGGTCCATTTAACCCGATAAATATTGACCGATCTTTATCAAAACAGGCATGTTTATTCTTTGGCCCAATCCCCTTCTCCATGCAAAATTTCACGAAGTTCGGGCCATTATTGCGGCCTCTGGAGCGACCAGAAAAACCGACAAAAATTTGGTCCATTTCATCCCCTAAATATTAACCGATCTTTCCCAAAAACAATAGGGGCCTTCATTGGCCATAACCCATCATACATGCAAAATTTCGTGAAGATTGATCCATAACTGTGGCCTGTATCGTGTTTACAAATTATAATGGACAGACGGACGGACGGACACACATGTCTAGATCGACTCAGCTAGACGAGATATAACGATCGGCATACTTAAAGGTGGGTCTAGGACTAATATTTCGCGGCGTTACAAACTTTTGGGGCTGCACAAAGCTATAATACCCTGACAACATAGTTGTGTAGGGTATAAATATTGACTGTTTGTGGGGGAGGTACCAGAAGGAAAGGGCTGCCCGGTCCCACCTTTGGACTTCATCTAGGCTTGGTTGTGCAAAGTTTGGTTCAAATCGTACATTCCATTCGCCTGATATTGGATTTATAAATATTGAAATTGTTTACCATTTCTGGGGTAGTTATCAGATAGAGTGGACCACTGGGTCCCATCTTCGGACTTAATCTGGCCTTGGTAATGATAATAGATTGTACAAAGTTTCATAGTCCGTTTGCATGATATTACATACTTGCCTAGCTGGCTTGTGACAGAGCATTTGTTCCATAAGCCGAGGTTTAAATTAGTTAGCTCGCATTTATATGCCTTTTGTAATGGGGTATCTTCATCTATTCTCACAACATGACCTAGCCAACGCTCGATACATCTGAGAATGCCGATGTCTAAGAATAGCTGGTACAACTCATGGTTCATTCGACGGCGATATTCACCGTCAACGCATATCGGACCACAGATCTTTCGGAGAATTTTTCTCTCAAACACTCTAATAACTGCCTCATCTGCTTGCGTAAGTACCCACGCTTCAGATCTATATAACAACATGGATAGTATCAGCTTCTTGTAAAGTGTAGATATACCCAAGTGTTTGCTGCAGGAGTAGGCTTCTGCTATCTGTTGTTTTTGTAGCTTTTCGACGTCGAGTTTCCGTGTTGTGTTAGATCGCACCTTTATGCTATATTAAGACGAGTGCGAACCTTGTATAGTGGTGCGAATCGGTATTCGCTCCTCGGATCGATCGAGCGTCTAAAACATTGGATGAATGCCTTCCGTCTATCAAAACATGATCGATTTGATTTCTCGTTGATCGTTCAGGAGAAATCCAGGTGACCTTATGTATACCGAGATGCTTGAATCTGGAGCTGTTAACTACCATGTTATTTGCTGTCGCGAAGTCATGCCGTTGTCTGATGTTTCTTCATGGAGGCTGAATTTTCCGACGGTGGGTTAAAGATATTTTCCCTCCCGATTTTTGCATTAAAATCTTCTAGCAGAATTTTAATGTAATGGACAGACCAGTGGTCATATGATGTCTCTGGGCGCTAGTAAAAAATGTATTTGGTCTGTTCATCTTTGTCTTCGATCGGAGCATGGGCGCAAATGAGACTGATGTAGAGAACTTCGCTTTTATATGGATTATAGCAATTCGCTTATCTATTCGAGTGAAACTGGAGACGAGGTCGTTTATTCTCTGGTCATTTTGTGGGTGAGGTACAAGAAGGAGTTGACCGATATTCTCCATCTTCGAACTTGAACTAAGATTCGATTTCAAAGATTGTATGAAATCGATTATTCCCCTCGAGAGCTACATACAGACGGATGGATGAACATTTGCAAATCTACTCTAAATTTTTTGAAACGGATTTGGTCCAAAGAAAGATGGTGTCATAAACCAATATTTTGATGAGGCACATTTTCACCGAGGCACATTATTCATTAGCCTTATTGATAGTCTTTAAAAAAATATTTTTGGAAACTTCAGGTTAATTTTAGACATTAAAATAAAATCCGCAAAGTACTTTAGTGGAATACATTTTAAAAAACCAGTGAACGGGGCAAAATATTCGAATGGGGCCGACCATCCATATATTAAAGATGAACAGTTCCCCTTTCTTAGACTGGCAACTTCTTCGGATTGTGTTTCCTGCAGTGAACATTTACGTCATAAGATGTAAATTTTGTCATTTTACACACGTTGCTGAATATTTACAGATCTTGATCAAATTCAACCATTCTAGTAGTTCCTTCCCTGTGTAAAATTTTACCACCAAAAAATTATAGGTGTCGTCTTGATACGACCCGAGTCTTATTCGACCAACGTCTGTCACCTCAACCCGTTGTTTAAATGCAGTACGGCTGCTACCACAACAACAAAGATATCGTCCATTGCCATAACAGGAACTTCATGTACAATTTTGTAAATGTGAATTCTGAACAATATGAGAATACATAGATCTCTGTAAATATTTATGTATAGCTCCCACATCTGAGTACATACAACAATAATTGAAAGGCATATATTGTGGCATATACTCCATAGAATACAAATGTCATAGTTGTTCACACAAAAGTCTGGGCTCATTTGACCCGCTTAATATTTACCGATCTTCATCAAAATAGACATGCTTTTCATTGCCAGATTACCATCTCCGTGTACAACTTGGATATGCTCTTGTCATTTTGCGACCTGTAAATCGACCAGCTAGTCTAGATATGAAGATAGTTATGCTCAATACTCTCAACATATTTTTGTTGGGTATAAATACACCCGTTTGTAGGTCCCTGAAAAATTTTCCTTGTTTGAAAATATATTTAGTTTTATATTTAATCTCCGGAGCTATAGTTTCGTACGTACCGGTGTAGCTTTGTTAAAATTGCTCATTTACCACTACCATAAAATGTTCGACGTGAGAAATATACCAAATGTTGCAACACATTGCCAGATAAACAATCTTTAAGAGGATAATTACATCTGTCATACAACATGACCCTTCGATTATCTTACAATCAACATTAATTATCTACAAAAAATATACGACAGGTCAGAGAGGTGATATTGAATGCAGTCATTTCGAATCATTGGCAGTTCTTTGTCGGTCTATTACGGTGGAAGTTATACAAACGGGAAAAGTGTCCTTCGTTAACAGCCATGATTCGTTTACGTGATGTGGCTAAAGAATATTTGGAAAACTCTACATTGCATGGAGCACGTTTCATTGTGGACAAGGAATTGTCCTGGATAGAAAAGTTATTTTGGGTAATGTGTCTGGTGGCCTCGTGGTTTGCCTCATGGAAGCTGATAAAGGTGTCCTTGGGTAAGGAAAATTAGCATGACCAATATTATGGATTTCTCTAAGGATACATATTTTTTGAAAATTTCGAAAATAATTTGAGATACATAGACAACAAATTTGAATTCTATAAAAGATGATTTTGAAAACAGAATATTTTTTTGATTTACAGATGCCTTTGAAAACAATTCCATTAGTTTTGGTGTCGAATCCAGTTATCGTGACTGGGAGACGAATTTTCCAGCCATTGTGGTGTGTGAATCCAAGAATATGGATCGCATACAAGAAGTTGCAGAACAGTAAGTCCAATTTTTTACAATGTATTTTAAACAAAATCGAAATAAAATTGTTCCCTTCAGACTTTGGGGTGCTGATCACGACTTCACATTGGAGGAGGTCTTGAGTGAAATTGCCTTCTTTCGTGGTGAATCGTATCACACGGTACATGAGTGTGGCGGAGAAGAACCTTCAGAGAATTGTTTCTATAGCAATTTCTCATATTATGCCCAGTTGGTGCGGAGCAGTTGTGAGAATACCATCAAAAATTGTATGTGGAACAATAAACCATTTCAGTGTTGTAAATTTTTCCATCGCATGGAAACCGAATTGGGGCTGTGCTATGCCATTAATTCGCTGCAGGCGGGGTAAACTATAGAAGCCTGAGAAGGAAAAGATTTTCGATTTCAATAAATTATTTATTCAACAGAAATAATGGTGGTCCTAAACTGAATATGTGGTCGAATCGTTATACTGGACCCGGGAATTTGAAATTAGATATACACACAGAGGCAGTGGTAAGTGAATTTTTAAGGAATATTTTTTTTCAAGGAGCTGAACAAGGCGTGGATTTTTAAGGCATAGTTTTTCATGGATATTACGTGGATTTTAAGGATTACTTTTTAAAATACCTTAATTTTTAGGCAATAGTTTTTCAAGGACCTGAGCAAGGTCCTAAAAAGCTATAAGCTTCATAGGCGTGGATTTTTAAAGAATATTTTCTAAAGGACCAGCAGCTCCATAGGCGTGGGTTTTTAAAGAATATTTTCTAAAGGACTATCAGCTCCATAGGCGTGGATTTTTAAAGGATATTTTCTAAAGGACTATCAGCTCCATAGGCGTGGATTTTTAAAGAATATTTTCTAAAGGGCTATCAGCTCCATAGGCGTGGATTTTTAAAAAATATTTTCTAAAGGACTATCAGCTCCATAGGCGTGGATTTTTAAAAAATATTTTCTAAAGGACTATCAGCTCCATAGGCGTGGATTTTTAAAAAATATTTTCTAAAGGACTATCAGCTCCATAGGCGTGGATTTTTAAAAAATATTTTCTAAAGGACTATCAGCTCCATAGGCGTGGATTTTTAAAAAATATTTTCTAAAGGACTATCAGCTCCATAGGCGTGGATTTTTAAAAAATAGTTTCTAAAGGACTGTCAGCTCCATAGGCGTGGATTTTTAAAAAATAGTTTCTAAAGGACTGTCAGCTCCATAGGCGTGGATTTTTAAAAAATAGTTTCTAAAGGACTGTCAGCTCCATAGGCGTGGATTTTTAAAAAATAGTTTCTAAAGGACTGTCAGCTCCATAGGCTTGGAATTTTTAACGAATATTTTGTTTTTTACATTTTTTTCATAGGTTTTCATTCTCGGCGAGGAAGAAGTTCCCACCTTGGTTACCCCCAAAACGGACTATCTCATAGTTAGTCCTTATATATCATTTGTGTAAGTCCATAGATGACATATTTTTCAAATTTATTTCATAAATTCTCTGCTCCCCATTCCAGTCGTCACATTGCCAAACATGACATCCAAAATGACGAGGAGATTCGCGATACGAAAATCTCTCAACGCAATTGCCGTTTCAATGATGAAAATAATTTAGATGTACATCGCTATTACAGCTACAGTGCCTGTACGGTGCAGTGTCGCAAGGATAGGCAGCTGGAGTTGTGTAATTGTTCCAGTCACTTGGCTCCGAATACACCCAGTCATCAAATGTGCAATATGGATGGTCTGGAGTGTCTAAATCGTAATTACGAAGATTTATCGGTGATTATTGCGAAGTGGTCGAAGAGTCGTCGTGGTTTGGTGTGTGATTGTTTGCCATCGTGTACGGAAGTGGATATCACAACGGCGGTGGATAGTAAAGATAAGTAAGGAGGTTGATTGTTTTGATTTGATTTTGTTTGATGTGGTGGTACATGGGAGCGTATGAAACAATTTGTAAATGCCTCGAGTATGTGGAATATAATTTAAATGTCCTTATATTACGCATACGCCACCATTGTTTTATTAATTTTTAAATTAATTAAAAAATCATTTGTTCTCAGTATTTACAGCCAAATTCCGTATTCAAAGGTGGAAATAGCTTTGGTCGAATTACCAACGGAACGTTATAAACGAAATTTGGTTCGAGATAAATTGGATTTGGTTGGTAAGAGTCCCGATATTATAGAGATATATAGAATATTGAGTATTCGTTTAACTTCCACATTAAAATTTCAGTATCAATCGGCGGAACTACGGGCCTATTTGTGGGTGCTAGCCTATTGAGTTTTGTGGAGATCTTATATTATGCCACTATACGTCCTTATGGCAGCATGATGGCCAAGAAGCGAATGTTAAGGCAGCAAAGGCAACAGCAATGAGGTGCGAGATCTGGATGATTGAAAAATATTACAGACAGACCCTATTAAAGGAATGCTAAGTTGTCGGAAAACCAGTATATTGTAAAACCAATATGAATTGTCAATAAAGAAAAGAGAAGAAGAGAACCAAGAAAGATATAGTTTAAGTGATAGTCCGTTAGAAAATATCCTTAAAAATCCACGCCTAGGGAGCTGCTGGTCCTTTAGAAAATATCCTTAAAAATCCACGCCTAGGGAGCTGCTGGTCCTTTAGAAAATATTCTTTAAAAATCCACGCCTAGGGAGCTGCTGGTCCTATAGAAAATATTGTTTAAAAATCCACGCCTAGGGAGCTGCTGGTCCTTTAGAAAATATTCTTTAAAAATCCACGCCTAGGGAGCTGCTGGTCCTTTAGAAAATATTCTTTAAAAATCCACGCCTATGGTGCTGATAGTCCCTTAGAAAATATTCTTTAAAAATCCACGCCTATGGTGCTGATAGTCCTTTAGAAAATATTCTTTAAAAATCCACGCCTATGGTGCTGATAGTCCTTTAGAAAATATTCTTTAAAAATCCACGCCTATGGTGCTGATAGTCCTTTAGAAAATATTCTTTAAAAATCCACGCCTATGGTGCTGATAGTTCTTTAGAAAATATTCTTTAAAAATCCACGCCTCTGAAGCTGATAGTCCTTTCGAAAGTATTCTTTAAATACCCACGCCTATATAGCTTATAGTCCTTTAGAATATATTTTTTATAAATCCACGGTTAGATAGCTGATAGCCATTTAGAAAATACTCGTTAAAAATCCACGCCTATGATAGTCCTTTTGAAAATATTCTTAAAAAAAGAGTTATTCAGAGTTATTTATTTACAAACAAAATCACATCGACATGTCCACCACTGCTTCAATTACATCCTCCACACATTCTTCCATTAGCATTCAAAATTCTTCATTCTGCTCCATATATTTTAACTTTTAAAATGGTTACAGCCAAGGCCTGATAAACATAACAGAACAATTTAAACTCCTTATAAGTTTCCAGGAAATCTGTTTCATTTGATGCCAGAATATCCTTAAATTGGTCCCAATAATATCTCAAATATTCTTCCTCCCTTTCCAATCTCTCCTCTTTATTCAAATTCATAAACAAAGTAAAGACGACATCAATTGCCGGCCGGCAATAGCGACAGGTTAGAAAAACCACAAACATATCGGAAGCATCTGGGTCTTCCGAATTTAAAAATATATTTCCACCCCATGTGTCACGATGACACACCACATTCCGATATTTTGGCGATGGGTTTACCATAAAATACACAGATTTCAAATGATATGGCAACTCTTTATCGATAAATTCCTGTGAGACCTCTTCTTGATATTTTGGATGTTGTTTTGCAATTTCTAATACGGTTTTAAGGCCGGTTGTAAACCAGCGTATTTCTGGATGTAAGGTAATTTTTTGAGGCAATCGTAAAAATGATCTTCAATTGCTTTATCGTAAAGTTCATAGAGTAAGCTGGAGGCATGCATTGCCGCCAGTCCTCTGAGTATGGCAAATATTTCAGATTCTTCCAGGGTCTCCCTGTTGTTCAGGGAATGATAACCCAACTCTTCGAGATCTTGCAACACCAGCAGTTATGAGGAACATAAATATACTTTGGGACACCATGGTTGAGGGGCTGGAAAGGAGAAAGGGAAATTAATAAAAAAATCCACGCCTTGTTTAGGTCTCTAAAAAATATTCTTAAAAAAATCCACGCCTTGTTTAGGGCTCTAAAAAAATATTCTTAAAAAATCCACGCCTAGTTTAGGTCTCTAAAAAATATTCCTAAAAAATCCACGCCTTGTTTAGGTCTGTAAATTTTTTTTTTAAAAATCAACGCCTTGTTTAGGTCTGTAAAAAATTTTTTTAAAAAAATCCACGCCTTGTTTAGGTCTGTAAAAAATTTTTTTTTAAAAATCCACGCCTTGTTTAGGTCTCTCAAAAAATATTCTTACAAAAATCCACGACTTGTTTAGGTCTCTCAAAAAATATTCCACGCCTTGGTTAGGTCTCTAAAAAAATATTCTTAGAAAAATCCACGCCTTGTTTAGGTCTCTAAAAAATATTCTTAAAAAAATCCACGCCTTGTTTAGGTCTCTAAAAAAATATTATTTAAAAACCACGCCTTGTATCGGCTCTTAAAAAAATTCTTAAAAAATAGTTTTTTTCTTAATTTCTTTATTATTCCCCATAATGAGGAACTACCTTCCATAATTTACTACTTAACGACCTTGCCATTCATTATCAATGAAATATGATGCCGCTGTTTTGTAACAAATGCTGATAATTGACTTCGCTTTCAGATAAATATTTGCACAATTATTTTGTTGTGGCAGAATGCAACGTTTCCAACTTCTACATGACGACGAAGAATATTCAGTAGTTGTTGTCGAATGAAAGGGACAAGAAAAAAATTTTATCAGCATAATTTCTTTTGAAATAAAAAAAAACTAAAGCC